ATGCCCTTGCACGCTTTTAATAGGCGTTCCCTCATGGGAGCAGGTACAGGATTGCCCATGTGCATTTTTTTTCACAGTTCACAGGCGGGTCTTTTCAAAAATTCTTGTAAATCCTCCATTATACCTTTAAAAATTAGAAGATACAACACCCTACTGTCATTTAATCAAAATGAATAAAAGCAGCAAGATATACAGAGATGTTTTACAAATCAAATACATATAACAGCTTAGGCTTGCTAAGACGGTGCAATGGATAAGTGCTTTAGTACTCTATTCTAAGCTGTCATGTCTGCATATATGGCAAACAAAAAAGGAAAAACTTCTATCCGTTGAATAAAATAGGGGATCTGAGCCTGGAGCTCCAACTTGTCCATGTCTCTGGAGGAGCACTTGTCCTTAGGTGACACCACCCTTTTGTGGTGCTGGTTGTATCGATCATTATAGAAAACATACGGTATTTCCTTCCTCTCTGGGAAAGAACCTTCAAAAGTAGAAAAAAAACCTGCTTTTTTAAACGATTTTAAGGTTCACTGAAAGTTCTGTAATCAGCCTCGTAGACATTAATCACTTTTCGTAGAAATAAGCAGGCAGTTCAGGGTCAGAAGAACCAACAGTGAAAATCGACCACTGAAGATGAAGACAAGGCTGCAGAAATGTAAGCTCACAAGCAGCATCCAACAAGAAAGAGAGCTAGTTTGTTAAAACTGATTATTGTGACAGTAAACCCAAGATGGATCTCAAATCAGCTTCATCTGATGGGGACCAAACAAATAGAATAGCATCATATGTTTTTTATTGGGAGGGAAGCAAGCTGCAGTAAACACATGAGGAGTAAGAGCAGTAGAGTTCTGGTTTTATTTTATTTTCAGAGCAGAATGGTGATAAATTGCATCCATACAAGAATAACTTGACTACTCAAACTATATTTGTAAAATAAGGGAGATGTACAAAGAAAACTTTCAACGTCAATTAATTCTGTCTTTGAATATTTCACAGCTTTATTGAAATTAAAATTATGTTCATCTTTTTTACTAACCTGAACAGAAGGCTCATCCTTGTGCTGTTCTGTTGCCTTTGGTCAGAAATTGTTCTGCAAAAAGGAAGAAAAAGTAAAGATAAGGCAATAAATCTACCACAAACCAGTAGATTTATTCATTTTGATTATCACTCTGTTTAATCTGGGAGGAGTAAAAGATAAATATATTTTCTCAACTAAATTAGCTGTTTTGCTTGGTAAAAACTCTTAAATCTATCAGATCTTGTTTTTTTGTTTGTTTTTTTTTTTTTTACAAATGTTCCTATTTGTAAAACGGTCTTTGGTAATAGTCAGGAGATGCACCAGGAATGAAGGACAGTGATGAGAAATAGGAAATACAAAGAAAGGACAGACCCAGGGCCGCCCCAACCAAAACACGCAGTGCGTTGAGCCTCATGCTTCCGCTGGGGACACATTTGCGCCTGTTAGCGCATATGCACAATGGATGCGCCATGTTGCGCTATACTGTGCGGAGGAGGGAAAGAGACCATAATCTGTAATCTGACCGCCAATGCATGTCAGCGCTCATCTGATAGTGGTGCGCGTGCAGGCGGCCTGCAGAAGATTAGAAAATCAACATGTCCTATTAATGTACTTTATTGTATCACAGCGAGATATATCTAGGCTTTGAGAGTATGTTCAACTTGGACCTTTCTTAGAGAAGAATTTAGGACCAACCATCTCACCCTGGGTTGTTCCAATGGAAGCAGTCTTGCCTTTTGCAGAGCCTAATCCCATACGGGTTAGTAAAAATGTTGCAACTTGTAGAAAATTTCATTTTTAGTGACGTTTGTATCCCGATTATCTACAGTCCTTGAGTGTCACATTTATGCAGTTGTTGATGGCTCAGCTGCTCCAGCACACCTGAAACAAAGGAATGATTAATGTCCAGATCTCTACTTAACAGGCTGACATGTCAGGAGCTCATTTAACCTTTGGTTTCAGGTGTGTTACAGCAGAGAAGCATAAAAAAAGGGGCAGTCAAGGCCCCTATTCCAAAGGTTATTCTTAAACATCATTGACTGCATAAATTAGTTGTAAAGATTTGATTTAAGTAAACATTCAGTTCTGACTACAATCATATAAAAATAGTTCTTCAACAAATCAGCATGATATTTTATGATGCATCAGAAACACGTTTAAGCAATAGCTGTTAAAGAAATACGTTTATGGACTCCTCACCAATAGCAGCTCGGTTTATGGCTAGATCCATCAC